GCCTTGCTTTCAGAAAGAAAACAAACTTGATTTTATGTCAACTATTTGGATGTAAAGAAGCATGTATTTTACTAGTTAGAATTGATTTTATCTAATTTATAAGCAGAGAGATATGTTGAATCATCATAAATTCTGATTGGGTGGGATCCAACTGTGTCCTCTTACAGTTATGTAATAAATAGGCAAATGAGCTTTTGCTACCAATTCAGGATAGGGCCACATACCAGAGATGGGGAGGCATCTGTAGTCATTTCCCAGGTAGGATTCAGGAATTGGGGTGTGGATGTGGGTCAGGAATCAAATAGGACCAGACTGACTGGTGGTGACAACCTGTATGGGCATACTTTCTCTCTTTACCAAAGTTCATAGGATCATAGACTAGAGCTTGAAGGGATGCCAGTCCTCTCATTTTACATGAGGAAACCAAGACCCATTAAGGTTTAGTAAGTTGCCCAGGGTCCTGTGGGTAATAAATGTCTGAGGTGGAATTTGAACCCAGGTTCTCTGACTCTAAAGCCAGTACTTATTCCACCGTATCACCCCACTTCTTTTGCTGCCCTAGGTAGGCACCCTATTTTCAAGGTGTGGTAAAACAGCTACTACTTTCCCACTATGGCATGGAGGTAACACCTTGGGTTCTGAAAACAATGCCAGTGGAGTAGAACAGAGGCCTTGGTAGGGGCCTCACAAGCTGGAAAGGCTTTGATGAACATAGGCCTAAAGGTTAGGACAGTCCTTTAAAGATTCAGCAAGTAGAGAGGATCTTCCCCAATTTTTTAGTCACAGCAACATACAAAACCATTCACTAGGGAAACGGAAGCAGGGGTTGGGTTCTGTATCAGTCATGGTGAAAACCTCCACCTTCTATGAAACCAGGAATCTTTGGAAGTTGGAGGAAGGTAAGAGCAGGGGATCTCTGTGGTCTAGAACAAACAACCATGGCTGGTCTAGGGATCTAGAAACTAGTGCTGAAACTTCATCTACCCATGGGCCAGGCAAAAATCAGAGGATGGAATTTGGGTCTCAGCTAAGCAAACCTTACTATTGTCTATTGATCGTAGCTTAGACATGAACTGAAATATCCTTTCGGTTGTCTGAATAATCTTACAGTTCGTTTATGTTCAGTAGTTCTTACAAATAGAACAATTCAACTTCTTTTGATAAGATGGATGGCAACTTGCTGGGAATTTTGTAGCAGGGATTCATACAATCAGAGTTTGGACCAAGCACCCTCAAAGGTACCTTTCAGGCCTTAGATTCCATGATTCCTTGAGATGTTGTCTAAAGTCATCAAGATATTATTTGTACTTAATCATTTAGTAAGCATTTATTAAGCCTTACTATGTCCCAGGCACTATGTTAAACTCTGGGGATTAAAAAGAAAAAATGAAGAAAGCCCCTGCTCTCAAGGAGTTTATGTTATAATGGGAAAGACAATGTGTGCAAACATGCACATATACACACAGAATATTTATAAGATACATAGAAAGTAGATATACAAGGTAACCTTAAAGAGGAAAGTGCTAACAGCTGAGAAGACCAGGAAAAGGCCACTGTAGACAATGACACTTATACTGAGACCTTTTTAAAAATTTTATTTTATTTTATTTTATTTTTAATTTGTGGAATAAAACAAACATTTTTATAACAGTATAATAAAAAAGATGATTGCATATAAAACTGCAAATCTTTCTACACAACTTGCTATTCCTTTTAAATATGTAATAAAGTTATATAAATTTTTTTCCCTTTTTTTCTTTTCCCTTCCCCTGCCCTAGAGATGGCTACCATTAGACACAAATATGTATATATATATAAAACTATTCTATCCATACTTCTATTTATCAGTTCTTTCTCTGGATGTAAATTTGGGGATTTATAATAGTCAAAATGACTTACTAACTCAAAGTTATTTTTAAAACAATATTGCTGTTACTGTATACAGTGTTCTCTTGGTTCTGCACATTTTACTCTTCGTTATTTCGTTCAAGTCTAACCATATTTTTCTAAGATCATCGATTTCATCATTTCTTATAGCACAATAGTATTCCATCACATCCATACCACAACTTGTTTAGCCATTCCCCAATTGACAGGAATCCCCTCAATTTCCAGTTCTTTGGCATCACAAAGAGAGCTGCGATAAATATTTTAGAACATATAGGTTCTTTTCCTTTTTCCTTAGTCATCTTTGAAAATAAACCTAGAAAAAAAAATAAAAAAGAAAAAAAGAAAAATTAAAAAAAAAAAGAAAAGAAACCTAGCAATGTTATTGCTGGGTCAAAGGGCATAGGCAGTTTGATAACTCTTTGGGCGTAATTCCAGATTTCTCTCCAAAATGAACTGAGTGTTAAAGAAAACAGTGGATTCCAAGAGGCAGAGGTGAGGAGGGAGAACATTCCAGGCATAGGGGATAACCAGTGCAAAGGCATAGAGAAGGGAGACGTTGAAGTCCTGTATGAAGAACTTCAAGTGGGCCAGAAAGGCCGGACCATAGAGCAGGAGTAATGGATAACAAGACTAGAAATATAGGAAGCCCCAGTCAGCTTCAAATATCAAACAGAAGACTCTGTATTTAATCTTAGAGATAATAGCGAGCCACTGAAGTGTAATGAAAAGGAGAATAATGCCATGCTGAGGCCTGCACTTCAATAAAAATCACTTTGGCAGTTACGTAGGGGATGGATTAGAGTGAGAAGAAACTTGAGACAGAGAGACCAATTAAGAGGCTTTTGTAACAGTCAGTTCAAGAGGTGATGAGGGCCTGTACTTGGTAACTGTGAGTGGAGAAAAGGGACCTATGCTAGTGTGGTTGTTGCAGTTAGAAATGACAAGATTTAGCCATCAATTGGCTATATGGAGTGGGGAGTTGAAGATGGGGAAGGTGCAACACTAATTTGGAAGGGTAGTGGATTCTGAATCAGTAATGGGGAAGTTCAAAAAAAGAGATAGGATTTTGGGGAAAGATAATGAATTCTCTTTTGGGCATGTGGGTTTCAGATGCCCACAGGATATGTAATATCCAATAGGTAGGTCATGATGTGGGGCTGTAACTTAAGAGAGTGACTGGGGCTGGGTATATAGATTGAATAATCATTTGTGTTAAGATAATTGAACCCATGGGAGTGGATGAGATCACCAAGTGAGAGTGTAGAGGGAAAAGAGAACATTGGACTGAGCCCTTGGGTATACTCACAATTGAGGGAGGAGCACGAATGATGATTCAGCAAAGGGAACTGAGGAGTTGTCATACAGACAGGAGGAGAACCAAAAGAAAGCAGTCAGGAAAACTTAGAAGATGAAGTATTTGAGAGCAAAGGGTGATCCAGTACTATACAAATGATGAGAATCTAGAAAAGGTTGTTGTACAATAAATCCCTGATGACGTTGGAAAGAGTAGTTTCAGTTGAGGCATGAGATCAAAAATGATTTCATAATTACCAAATCTAACAATCTGATTAATGTTAACCAATGCTAATTGAGTCACACTAGATTGGATAGGTTTAGAAGAGAATGAGAATCTAGTGATTCCTTCTCAGGAGTTGGCCTCCAACTCTTTAATCTTCACCTTACAAACTTGACCTCCACAACTAGACTAACATATATAGGTGAGCAGTGTGTCTCAGTCTTTCAACCAATCAGAAGATGTTTCCTATGTGCTGTCATATATCTTCATCCAAAACCTACAATCCTCTTAAATTCATTCACTTTTTCGTACATTATGCTGGAATATTGTAAAAACTCCTGAATATCTAGTTTATATTGTTCATTGATTCAATTTGAGGGTATCTGGTATGATTACATTAATTAAAAAAGGGTTAGAACCCCACCCTTATTATTTATTGAGAAAATATAGAGGCAATTAATCCAGCACTCCTTCTTTTCCCCTTCTTTATATCTGAAAACCCCTTGATATCATTCCTCTTAATCATTCTCTCCCTCCTTTACTTCAGACCTTGATGCAGAGGTGACTCTTTTTGCCAATGCCTACTGGTCTACCTCTACCTTTGATCCTATGCCCTCATGCCTCCTCTTCAGCAGATTTCTTTCCAATCTTCAGCATCTATATAGATAAGTTCATTCCCTGCTTCCTATAAACATGCCCAGGTTTCCCTAAACTTTAAGTACCTTTAAGTACTTTTGGTGCCCTCAAGCTGTTACCCTACATCTTTCCATTTCCCCACAGCCTCCAAAGTGATAGTCCTAAAGCACAGTTCTGACTATGTGTCACTGCCCTGATCAATAAACTTCAGTGGTTTCCTATTACCTCTACTATCAAATACGTAGTCTTCTGTTTGGCATAAGTCTTTCACAATTTGGCTCCAAACTACTTTTGTAGCCTTACTGGAAAAAATACCTTACTCTCCTTCTGCAGGCAGCTAGGTGGTGCAGTGGATAGAGCTCTGGGCCTGGAGTCACAAAGACCCGAGTTCAAATTTATCCTCAGACACTAGCTATGTGATCCTGGGCAAGTCACTTAATCCTATTTGCCTCAGTTTCCTCATCTGTAAAATGAACTGAAGAAGGAAATGGCAAACCACTCCAGTATCTTTGCCAAGAAAACCCTAAATGGGGTTACAAAATGTCAGACACAACTGAAAAACAACTGAACTTCTGCACTCTTAGGTCCAGCCCAAACTGGCCTTGTGTATTCTTTTTAACATTCTACCTCCCATCTTCCTGCCTTTGTACCAGCTGTCTCCATGCCTTGGAATGTACTCTCCTTACTTCTACTTTTTCTATTGCTTGAGACTCCTTCCAGAGTCACCTACATGTGTGGGTCTTTCCTCTGTGCCTAGAAAAAAAAATTGCCTTGAATTTATTTTGTTTGTAATTTGTATCCTCTTATGTAGGCACATGTTGTTTCACCCAACAGAATGTAATCTTTCAGGCAGGGATCGTTTCGTTTTTGTCTGGGTATCCTCAGTACATAGTAGACACTTGGTAAGTGTTTGTGGCTTGATTAACTGAAGAATGTGCTTGACTTTTTCATTTCTTAGGTTCTCCTGCCATGGCCAGTTACCAGGAAGGTGAGCCTCCCTCTCCTGGGGAGAACTCAGGGGATGAAAGTCAAGGGGATGAGGCAATCAGGATCCTTGAAAAAATGAAGCAGAATCAGAGACGTGCAGCAGCGGAGCTGGTCAGCACAGAGGCCAAGTATGTGCACAATCTCCGGCTCTGTGCCTCTGACATCCGGAGCCAGTTACGTGAGGTAATGTGCATGTAGGGATGCTGGGAGAGGCAGGGAGCATAGTGCCTGGACCAGCATTCCATCCTCTCAGTCACACTGAGGGGTGACCACAGATTATTAGCACCATACTTAGCCCTTGGTGACCTTTCAAGAGTGGAGGAAATGAGTTCTTAAGAGGGGACCACCAACTACTCCCAAGCTCCAGGTCTATCCCCACATATAGAACAGGGAAATTAAGGCAGATATTGGGAGCAACTGAGCCTTGTCCCTATTCCCTTGAATCATGGGGGTCCCAGCTTTCCTGCTTAGCTCTGCTATTTATAACTTGTGTAACTGTGGGCAAATTACACCCCTTTCTGGGTCTCATCTAGAAATACTTTGAGCAAGAGAATTTATGACTGTGACTATATCCAAGGAGGTTATTTGGCAGCAATAATAATCATTGGAACAATTTATATTTATATAGCACTTTACCTTGTATGAAGCGCTTCACAAGCATTGTTTCATTTGAGTCTCAAAATAATCCTGTGAGCAAGAGACTACAGGTTATCCCCATTTTACAGATGAGGAAACAGATTCAGAGAGGTTTAGCACTCAAAGTCATCCAGCCAGGAATCCCATAAGAGGTGGGATTTGAATTCACTTCTTCATGATTCCAAGGTTAACACTTTATCTATTATGCCATGTTGCCTCTGGGGGGGAAAAGGACCATATTGAACAAACAGCTTTATCTATAATTACAAAAAGCTGGGGAGTGAGGCCAACAATTGGGGAATAGCTGAACAAATTGTGGCATGTGAATGTAACAGAATATTGCTGTGAATATTAAGAATTCAGAGAAATATAGGAGGTCAAGGTAGAATCAAAAGAACATACAAATTGAGTCCATCAGTCAATTAGTATTTACTAAGTGTCTATTTTGTGCCAGACACTATTAAGAGCTGGGCTTACAAAGAAAGTCAAAGAAGCAACCAAACTCTGGTCAGTACAATGGTCTGTGTTAGTATGCTATCACAACCTAGACACATTCCCTTTTGTTAACAATTTATACATAAATTGTTTGGGGTAGATGTACTTTGTAGGGGATTTGCTTGGGTGTTTGTTTTTTTGGGAAGTTATATCAAAACATTATCAGTAAATTTTTGTTTAATATTTTTTTAAAAAAAGGAAAATGTCAAAGTAAAAAAGGAAGATAAAATGAGGAAGTTGATCTAGATTCTAGATGATCTCTGAGGTTCCTTCCAGTTCTGAATTTTATGATTTTTTTACGGATCTTTGTGGTTCACTCCATCTTCCTAGGAAGGCGGAGAGCCCTTGCCTGCTCAACAAGGTCCATGCCAAAACCTTACTGCCTGAATCCTGCCTTATGATTATGCTATGATGAAGTGAGATTTCTCTGCTAAAATAAGACAGCCATCATGGATCCTGGCTTTAGGAAAAAAGACTCTGGTCCCCATTAACTGCCACAGTAACTTAGAGTTGGAGGTGTAGTCTAACCTCTGTCCTAAGGCAAGAATCCCCTCTCTGTCATCCCTTGTTTGGAGAGAAGTTCAGGCTGAGAGTGATGTTTCCGTTTCAGAGTTTCCAGTGATGGGGATCTTGCTACTATGAGTAGCAGCTCTATTTGCTTTGGTGAAACTTGGGTGTATCTGCTTCCTCTGACACTTACTAGTTATGTGATGATGGGCAAGCCAATTAACCTCTCTGTACTTTAATTTTCTCATCTGTCACATGGGGATAATAATACCTTTAGTAGTTACCCCACAGGACTGTTGTGAGGAGTGTCAAAATGAGAACAGTTTGTAAATGTGCTTTACAGACCTCAAAGCATTATATGTAAGTGTTAGTTATTATTATTATTTGCTATTATCTTCTGTGGTAGCCCATTCTTCACAATCACAGAATTTAGCAACCACCCAGTCTAATGTAGGCATGAAGGGAATCCCAAATATAACACACCTGACAATTGGTCATCCAGCCTCTGCTTGAAGACTGTCTTGGGAGGGAGAACTTGCCACCTCTCAAGGCCCAACCCAGGCACTTTTGGAGAGCTCTGATTGTTAGGAAGTTTATCTTGACCCCAAATTTAAATTTGCCTCTTTGTAACTTCCACTTGTTCCTGGTTTTGTGGTCGAGCCAAATGGAGCAAGTTTAGTCCTTCCTCCACCTGACTGCCCTTCAAATACTTCAGGACGGTTGTCATGGCTCCCCTTTTCTCTCCATGTCTTCTCTTCTCCAAGATCAACATACCCAGTTCCTTTAACTGATGCCCATGAAATGTAGACTCAAGGCCTTTCACTATCCTTTTTTGCAATCCTCCAGATAATACAGTTTTTCAATGTCTTTCTTAAACTGCAGCTCTCAAAACTGAACACCATTGCATTGGTTAGACTTCTCAAGTCTTTCAAAGTTAATATTGTTATTATATAAATTACCCTCCTGGTTCAGCTCACTTCACACTGAATCAGTTCATACAAGTCTTCTCAGGTCTCTCTGAAATCATCTTTTTTGTAATTTAAGGTGAAATAAATCCCCTTAATAGAAGGATTTGTTCCATAAACTTGGACTCAGTCAAAAGGCTGCACCCAAGGACCTAGAAGGCTACCTGTGTCCTTGAAGCTGCAGGTTCCCCACCCTGGTAGACCATTCACAGCTATGCCAATGATACATTGATAATTAACAATAATAATAATAACCAGCATGTATATAACACTTTAAGATTTACAAAATGCTTTATAAGTAAATATTATCTTTCCTCACAACAGTTCTAAGAGGTTGATGCTATTATTACACCCATTGTACAAATGAGGAAAATGAGGCTGAGAGGTCAAGTGACTTGCTCAGGGTCACACAGCTAGTAATTGTCTAAAGGGTCCAGTGCTCTATCTACTGGGCCACCTAGCTTCTTCATAGACATTAGTGTGTCTGTTTTCCCAAAGCCCATTGGACAATTGTCATTTTGCCTTTTTGGTCCTCTTTCTCAGTCTGAAGGGTGTGAGGGAGAACTTCAGAGTTGTTTTAATTTTAATTTTTCTAATTGTTACTTATTTATAGCAATTTTTGCTAGTAGATAGTGTCAATTTCTGCCTTTAAAAACTACTTTTCATATCCTTTGACCATTTATCTATTGGAGGAATAGCTCCTGTTATAGCTTATTATAAATTTTAATCAGTTCCTTATAAAACTTGGATATGAGACCTTTATCAATGAAACTTTCTGCAAATATCTTTTTTTCTTCTTAACTGTTTTCCTTCTAACTTTAACTGCATTGGTTTTGTTTATACAAAAACCGTTAAGCTACTTTTGGGTCCTGACTCTGCCATCCACTGCAGAGTTATCTCTCCCAGCTTTGTGCCATCGGCAAATTTGATGAGTATGTCATCTATGCCTTTGTTTGAATCGCTAATAAAAATGTTAAACAGCACAGATCATTGGGGTCTTCCACTGGAGACCTCCTGCCACAATGATGTTAACAACTACTCTTAGAATTTAAACATCCAACCAGTTTTGAATCTATTTTTTATTGACCAATCTGTATCTTTCCATCTTTTCCACAAGAATAGTATGATATACCTAATCAAAACTTTGGTAAAATCTAGGTAAACTTTATCCATAGCATTCTTTTCATCTACTTGTCAATAAAAAAAAAGAAATCGAGGTTTGGCATGGTCTGTTTTTGATGAAACCATAATGGCTCATTGCAATTACTATTTCCTTTTCTAAGTGTTTGCCAACCATCTCTTTCATGGTCCATTCTATAATTTTTCCAAAAATTAAACATAGGCTCCCTGGCCTATACTTTACAGGCTCTGTTTTCTTTCCCTTTTGAAAATTGTGACATTTGCCCTTCTCCAATCTTGGTGCACCTCTCCCATTTTCTACATTCTTTCAAATATCACTGACAATTCTTATAGAACCTGAAGATGTAGCCCATTTTGGACAGGTGAGTTGAATTCATCAAGGGCAACAGGGTACTTTCTTAATGTACTCTAGTGAAAAAAAATCACTTCTGTTTCTCACTTAATTGATCTTCCTTTAAATACTCTCCCATCATGCTTTCTCCCTTTGGCTTCTGTATTTTCTCACATGAATATACCTTCTTAATATACAATACTACCTTTCTCTCCAACCCCTGTAAACACTCATCTGTCTTGTTTGTTATGAATAAGGTATGCCCATCCAAAGCCATGGTTCATTTATAGGTTTCATTTCACCAGGTCTCAGCAATACCAGTGAGATCCAGTCCACATCTTTGTGAATCTTTTTCTTTGTTGCTTCAGCTCTGGGCACTTGTAGACCACATATTTGAGATGTTACTGCTGGCTTCTTTCTTGCATTTTGTCTCAATTGCTATTGTTCTTCCTTTTTTTGAGCACAAAAAGTTTTTTCCTCCTTAGAATATCCAATTCCCTCCCCTACAGGAAGTGCCTCAGATTTGTTTGTTTCTAACTTGAGTTGTACAGCTATCCTTTTCCTTCCCTTTCTCTGTTGTTGAATGTTCTTCCCCTTTCCAACATCATGACAGGGGTCAAGTCTCCCTTCTCTGACCTCAGATCCCTTCCCCCTAGTCCCATTAAAGTCTTGCTTCTGTTTCTTTAAGGAATACTTTATTCTTCTTAACAACTTAAAGTTTAGACAGGCATTTTTGAGTCCAGTGGCCTTCTTCTCTAGGAAGGAAATCAACCTACACTTGGAACGCAGATAATAGTCATCCAGCTGTGGAAGAAATATAGACATTGTGCAGTTGATGCAAGTTACTGCACAATTTCCCCTATTCTCTGAAATGTTTGAGATTTTCAGCCTTTTTTTAAAAATACTTTCAAGGGTTTATGTCTGAACCCTAAGTGTCTCATTAAAATTTTTAGGCTAGCTATCACAGCTTAAGTACTTGATAACCCCACTCAACTTCATTTCCTTAGTCTCATTAACTGTTGTAGTATGTGCTATACCTTTAGCCTTTCGCCAACCTTCAATTTGTTTTTACTAGTTTTCTCCATCTACCAATCCACTCTCTCAATTTG